TACGAACAGTAGCCGAACAGAAGCGAGCAAGGATTTTATGCGAATGCTTGACAGGATAGAATTTTACTGCTTCCGAAATGTCGTGTCTCGTAAAAGCAGCCGCGTTCACGACCGTTCCTTCGTTCAGCTCTTTCCGCTGGAACTTATTGCGATTTCACGTTGACTATTTTTATAGGCGAAGAACTGTTGCAAAGGGTTTCGGTTATATCATTTTTATTGAAATAGACGTAAAACGTCAACCGTCGGGGATCTCCTGTATCGCGCGGGATCGCGTACAGGCCTGGAACTTCTCCAACCTCGCGTTTCTCTCCTCTCGTTCATAAAACGACGCCGCGTACATTGGAATCGGAGGGCACCCAAGAAGTTTCTGATTGTCAGAAACTTTATTCCAATGTTGATCATTTCATCGTCGGAAATTCTTCTCTTACTTTAGACTCTGTCTTCCCTTTTTTGATATTATATAGCAGATTCCTCTCGGAAACACGATGAAGAAGTGTTCAGGATACGGTGGCGTCGAAACTCTAAAAAGATTTTGCCTTGTTAAGCGTAATTAAAAAGAACAACGGACCCAGGAATAATATCCGGAGTGACGATGTGTCTTTTGTCATCGAAACGACCCCTCGTCACCATGCACAGCCGAGGTTTCGATTACGTGGCGACACAACAGTATCATTGCTACAAAGCCTGCCTCCATCCCCTCGTGAAAGTAACGTGCACGTTCCGATCTACGTATGCATGTATGTCCATCCATGAACGCAGCGGTCGAAAGCCAGTCAGAGGGTTCCGCGTTCCTCTATGTAACACGAGATTCTCGCTGGGATCACCAAGTTGAAAATTCGCGAGTTTCTGTGTCCACGCCTGTGACGTACGCTGCCCCGGGTAAATCCGTAGCACCCCTCGTTTTCGATTGTCTTTGAAGCCACGATTGTCCAGCTCCACTTCAGAACTTGAACGGTCTGCTTTCTCTAATTCGCTTGTTAGAAAGAAGCATCCTCGCATCTGAATTTCGCAATAAATCTTCATTTTTTGTTTTTACATTCAAACGTCATCGCAATTGATTCTAAAATTCGTAAAAAATCTCATTTCTTTCTCTATGAGTCTGTCTGGTCTCTAACAATGTCACAGCTATAGTCTTCGCTGTGCTTATATCAAGTTAACAACCAATTTCGTACAATGAAACGCACGTTCGTAAAATGGTAATAATTACGTCCACACTGCCGTTTAAAACGATGTAAAGGCTTAAACCAATGATCGCAATTGTTTCCACGTTACATCTGCAATTGCTGTTTAAATTCAGTAAAGACAGAATAGAATTTCTTATTCTTCTGTAACAGCGCTCGGTTATCGTGAAAAGTATCGTTTTACGTTTTCCGTCAATTTTATTGGTCGAACGATTTTATTGTCGCACTCGGTAAACAAATATGCGCGCACACCTATGTTCGGCTGCACGTATACGTAGGATCATGTACGATGCGTGTGAGAAAAAAACACAAGGAAGCAACGATGCACGTAACGATATCCGGTAACAAAAACTTTGATACGAGTCTCTGCGAATTCTACGACTCAGCGGAGGTATAGGCCACCTACAATTACAGTTAGCTGATAATATTGTTTTACGTTCGACGTATAGTTCCAGAAATGTTTGTCCAAGTTTCCAAGAATAATTTATATAAAAATGATTAAAACACTCTGGAGAATATAATAATAAAAAGCGATACTTATCGTTGCTATGAATGCGTTACATTAAATAACGAAGGAAACGTGTTGCCGTTCTTTCTTTAATATTAATGACAACTGAGACGTGCAAATATTGATTCTTGTTGAAAATGTAGTAGGAGTTTGAAACAACAATTTATATTACATATAGATTTAAGCAGGAGTCGCGCTCGTGAGACATCCTTGCGAAATATTCATAATTATCGTTATCGTTTTACACGTGCCATTTTCAAGTGCACACGCTTGATAGGTACACGATATACTTTATCGCAAAGATTAACACAACTGTTATATAATGCATCTTGCACGATACGGTTCCGATAAATGAATTAGTTTCTACCATTTCAGTCTGTTAAAAGTATAATAATGAAACTTTTTAATTATTTAACACCTTCCTTAAAATATTATATTTATTAAAATTCAGTGTAAATTTTTGATTCCACCGATCTCTCGTTTTAATAAAATCAGTTCAACGTCAATGCAAAGCGACAATAATATGCAACTATTTTTCATCAAGACAATGGTTGTTGATTGTAATTCTCTTAACTTCCACGTTTGAATTATTTAATAAGAAAAAATGATCGTCTGTAACATTCATCGACGTAAAAATGAATTTGATCATTTCGCATGATTGAGCATTGATTTATTTGCATACTCTCGGTAGGAATGAGTGGATAATCGTATTATGGTCGAACGGTATGACAATCGGCAGTGACAATCGCATGGACGTGCCTGGTGAATGTCTATCACGTTCCTCGAGTTCTCGGTGTTTGTTTCGAAGAAGCCAGATCGCGATTTCATTCGTCGCGAGAATATTTATTTATTGTCTGGAAAAGAAAATCATTGGAACGGATGAAAGAACTCTTTGACGAGCGTCGTATGAGCGCTGGGTATTGTGCACGTTCTCCAAACGCTTGCATGCATTTAAATTCGAACGTCAGATCGGGAATATATACATACATACATACATACATACATACATACATATGTATGTATAGGAAATGCAATTATTCGTTGAAAATTGTTTCTGTTATTGTAGAATCGTCGGCGATTACATGTTCTAATAACGTCACACGTTCTCATATTGAATTATATACATATGTATGTGCATTTAAATCTGAACGCCTGATCGGGAGTAAATTACGTTATTCGTTAACAATTTTTTTTGTTGTTGTATAATCGAAAACAATTGTAGGTAATAATGATGTCATATGAAATTCTTTCTGTACGTCGACTGTGTTATGCGATGATACGTTTGGCGAACAATACTAACATAATGCATACTGCATAATGGCGCATAATGCGTTACGTAAGTACAGAGTAGGTGATAATTGGTAGATTAAAAAACATTTTGGCATCTACGTTAAAAGTTGTCATGTGAATAATTTTCATGTCGGATATTATTATAACGAATTTATCGGATGTATATAATTTCTATGTTATTTCTTGTGCGACGAATTGCTATAAGAATTTGGAAAGTTTGTAATATAAAGAGAGGGGGCCATTATCGGATGTATTTATAATCTTATGAAAAAGGTTTAGCGCACTTGCGTTGTAGTATAAAAATTTATCCGGTTAGCTAGCGGTTACCAGTAATAAACATTTGCCGGTATATAAATACATAGGTGCTTAGGCATAAACTATCTTCTAGAAACCGTGCGTAGAAACATCGATGCATGAACAAAATGGCTGCGGACGGTGAAAGGTTCGGCGACGCTGTACATAATAAAAGAGAGAGAGAGGAAAAAAGGTGCGAAAAGAGAGAGAGAACGGTAGCGGACAGTGGAACCAAGCGATGAGATATGTGGGAGGCGGTGGAAAGAACTTGACGGATCGGTAGAAGGGGTGAGTTCCACAGTCGAAGGGGAGAAGAAGTGACTGCAACGGGGGCCGAGAGCAGTCGTTGATAGAAGGAACATTACCAGGGGCCTGGAATCGCGGAACGGCGCGGTTCTCTCTCCTTCCTTCTCAGCCCACCTCCGGTCAGAGGGCAGCCCCACCACCGAACTCCCCCCCTCGCACTCTACCCGTGTCCCTCTTCCTGTTGAACTTCCTCTCCCACTCTCGGAACGACGGCGTCCGCATTCTCCACTCCCTGTCTCGTTTCCTAACTATCTACGCGTCGACGTCCAGGGAGAGAGAGAGAACGTCGCGTACGCGCGTGTACGGAGCACGTGGTTGGCCAGGTTCACCTGGCACACAGGAAAGGAGGGAACCAACGCCCGGCGTCCCGGTGGAGGCACAACATCTGCTCTCTCTTGCGTCGCATTTTCTATCGGATAGAACCGGCGCGAAAGGGATGGAATCTTGGAAGAGAAAAGGAGCGTGCCCGAGGGAAAAAGCGGCAGAACCTCATGTGCCGTAGGAGGGGAAACCGGCGGCGATGGCACGAGGAACGACAGAGGATGAGAGGGAGCGTGTGAGGATGAGAGCGTCGCCAAGGGCGGGAGGACTACTTCCGCCTTTTAAAAGGCGATCTAGAAGGCCCCTCATAGGCGGGGCTGCGCAGCACGAGTGCGCTACCATTGGCTGGCTTAATATCTAATATGTCATATCAAACGGTCGTAAAATTACGGCTCTTGTCCATGTTCGCGGTCGCCGAACAACAGCGGTTCCATATTTCCCCTGCTGGCAACCAGCCGCCCCTCTTGCGAAACGCTGCGCCGTAGTTACCACCCCCGTGCGCGCAACATGCACCAACGGGAACAGCAGGCGCTGCTCATTGTTTAAAATCGATATTTATTGCGTTGCGATGGTGTTTAGGCTCGACGCGTACAGCTATACGCAGGCGCGTTCTCCCTTTTCCTCCACGGGGGTCACACAGGGTGATTTGAAGACCACGTGGAACGCAATGAATGTTAAAATTGATTTTAGATTAATTAATCCCTTGTGATAGAACAACCAGTTGATTCCAGGAAAAATTTATTCTGCATAATTATTTATGTATTTTTAACATTATTATAAATGTATTATTAACAGTTATTATGTATAACTTAAAATTGCATAACAGTTGCAAAAGACTACTTGAAAAACGGTTGAGCAATAATGCATCTGTCTGTAGATTTTACATAAAGATAACTTTAACTATTCGTGTTGCAATTTATCTGGCACGCTCTCAGATGAAATACTACATATAAATATTTTGAATAATTCAAATTTGTTATACACGTTCGCAATAGGTGTCCAGGTGAATTACTCTTGCATACAGAACGCATAGTATGTATGTCGTTATTAGTGGTACATAATAAATATTTTAATTGCACTTCGTCCTGATTATGTTGCAGGGTACAGCGTAGAGCTCCTACTTGATTACAGTACCAGGCTTCTAACACTATATCAGTTACCTTGGAATTGTCTACCGCTGATGTACATCTCCTTGAAATATGCAGGGGCTAATCTTGAAGAAGTGATGAAACGTATCGACGAAGGTAAATAAATTATTCTATTCTCATATCTTATACAAATAGCGTTCCTATCACGAATTAGAAGAAAATATTTTCTTTTATCACCATCGGTCTTATTTAAAATAATCATCCATCAAACAAATATAGTTACGCTGTTTTTTCATACTTCAATTCAGTGAACGAAGAAAATAAAAATGTTTTTTTTTTTCTTCTTAATAGCCGTCGAACCGAAAATTTTTTCTTGGGACACCAGTTTGAATAAAATTATTCTTTTTTATATGAAACTATTACCAATTTGAAAGTTTCGCGTATAGAAACATTATCGACGCTCTTGCTTGATGAAATTGTTTTTACAATATTCCTCTAAATATTTCTGAGGTTCGCGTTAAAACAGATAATAGTTGACAAGTTCTTTCGATTAAATCTCATTTAAGAAGTGACAAAAATATTCATTACTGATGCTGACGGTTCAACGATTGGAAGATTTTTTTCACTGTCTCGAAAGTTTTTCAAATGTAACATCGAATGCAACGAAATTGGCAATGTATGACAATAGTATTCGTCGCTGCGTGATCTTGCTACAATCCTGATATTAATATCGCGCGGATTTTGTCGAATGCTCTCATTGAAATATTAATAGGCCAGAAATCAATCCATCTGTTTCAAGAAATGGTCTCTGCCAATTCATAATACATTTTCGACGCATAGTTAAATAGCCGTTACCCGAAAATATAATTTAGAGTTGGCGTTCGGAATTGTTGCAGCAAATAAATATATAGACACATACAAACTTCCAAGCAAAGACAGGATGAGTAATTGTTATTGGCCAGGTTAACATACATAGTATAATAGTGTTCCGGAATGTTCAGACGTTGCAACTTCTTGATCCGTGCCAATCTCGTTGTCGTTCGCTTTACATTTTGTGCAACTCACGGAAAAAGGCGTCCGCGTTCTTGTTGAAAAATTCGCGAAATTCGTCGTGCTCAAAGATCGCTCAGGATAAAACATAAATTCTTCATGGATTGTTTTCTCAACACTCGAAGATTTTCTCTTGATCTACACTGAAGATTTATATCAGCATCTAGAAGATGTACAATTGTACGCTCAGATTATGTTATTTTACATACACGCGAAGATTCGTACAAAATTTGAGTCAATCTCGGATTGGATTCACCTCAGTTACCAAGGTAAGATTTTATGAAGTTGCAAACTGCTTACTACCAATTTTTGCGAATCTGTCGCCGGTTCGACGAAAAGGGGAGGAATGAGAACGTATAATTAATGTGCCTGAATATTAATCATTATATGTATTCTTAAACGATGAACGTTCCTTCTTTTATATACATTGGAATACATTACTGATATTTGACCAATAATTATTAAGAAGCTCGAAGGGAAGACGTCGGCGTACTTCAATTGGTGGTACGGGTATTCATATCGGTGATAAAAATTAGTACTGCTTGAAAACCTGAAGTAATAAGGCAAGTTAAAAGTGAAACGATGATGAGAACGTAGCAAAAGTAAAAATTGGAATTGATTTAATGTTAGATTAAAAGCGAAGCAATCCGTGGCCAAGGCCGTCGAGGTCTCGGAACGTACTGGTTCTCCGGGATTATCCCTTTGGTAAACTCGCGGCCTTGGATAAGTTAAACGAAGGCCACGTGGCTTTTATGCCCCTGCACGTTTTAATCAAAGAGAATGCGCGTCTGAACGTGTACGATTTGTACAGAATTTAGCAGTCGTTCAATTTTTTGTAATAATTTTCTGTAATCCAATTTGAACTCTTCTCTCGGAGACAGTCGAGTATGTTAATCCCTCCTCGGACATGAATATTATTAATGTGTCTGCGGGATAGAGAAGCGCGACGTGTTGTAAGAAATTTTGGTGTGACTTCTCGTTTGTCGATTTCTTTCTAATAATACTAAACGCGATCTCCACGTATAATCTTAATCACGAAGCAATAATATCTGCAAGTAAAATTACGCTAAGCCGTAATATTTTGCAAAGCTCTGCGTATCTATACGATCATCTGACGTGTTAGATGCAAGGAGATCGGCGCGAGTGAACCCACGCGAACGGACAATAAACGTTTTACGGCAGACTGTCGGGAAATTCGCCCGTGAGTCTGATTTCGCGCGATACCCGCTAACGAAACGGCTACTAGCCATTGGCAAATGCACGGTAACACGCGGTAAAACCGTGTGACCAGGGATTATTTCATTCTAAACTTGAAGCGAAACGTTCTTTGAATAGTTGTTATAATTCCTGATCCGCAATCAAAATTACTAATTGAAGCAATAAACGCGAGGGAAAATGTACCCCTATTTTTGCAAAGCTTACCACCACGTGAAAGAAATGGTTATCGTTCCCTTCATATTCAAGTTCCTTTTTTATCAGTAGTTTTCACATCTCTTGCAGTTTATTTAATTTTTATTCATTAGACGATCAACTTAGTTTTAACAATACATTACCAATACACACGGAATAGAAATATTTAAATTTTGCTATTAGTTTCACTATGCATATAATATAGATAATTACGCACGAAGTACACGTTTTTACTGTATACGCGGGGGCGTTAGAGCAGCTCATTAGAAGATTGTCTCTAAGATAAAACGACGTACAGGACTATTAACGTGAAAGATAATAGCAGAACAGGTTCACCTTTCCCCCGTCTATGGCGGCCAGCAAAATAATTTATGAAGGGCGGTCAAGCAGGCGTGAAAAAGGTGGAAACGTAAGTTGTTAAGTAGCCTGCCTACTTGGCTACTGTTCGCGCTAACCGATCATTATAAACCGTTTCAGTACCGCGTACGTACGCAGTGCGTCATAATGTTTCCAGGTGCCCGGGAGTGTGTACCCTCGTGACCACCGCTCCGGCGATTCTATTGGCCCGAACTTCAGAATTAATCAACATACCATTTCTCTTTAATACTATCTTCTACAACTTCTATCTAGTTTTGCAAATGTGAACTTGATTAAATCAACACTTGAGGAAACATTTATATCAATTTAGTTCGTACTTACAAATTTTAATATAGAATAGTAACACAAAAATAGAAATGAATTTATGAGGGAAAACAAAATTGGTATCACAATGAACGGTGGATAAGAATTCGCATTGGTGAAATGAATGGAACGACGCCTATGGTAGCCGCGGGACTACATATATTGTCGGTGAAGGTCTATGTCTATTAGTTTGGATTGCGGTCCGGGAAGAATCGGGTGGATAGCAATTACGGTGAAGAAGTCGTGTTTAACGCGTGCCGACAACGTTTTGGGATAAATGCGCTCGCGGAGAGCCAAGCTTGTTCGCCCAGTTGGATACTTTTTAAACCGATGTAGAAAGTCGCATTCCGGCTGGTTCTCTCGCTCTCTCTTTCTCTCTGACGAGCAGATACGCAACAGGATTTATGGCCAAGGTTTGTCTTGGATACTTCGATACACTGTTGCTGATGCACACGCTCCTGCCTCTCGTCGTAACATTTTACATTTTAACTGCGTGAAACTCCGTTCACATTCTCGTTCGATATACATATAAAGAGAAGACAAATTGTGATACGTTAACATTATATTTTTAGTCTCACTGCGTAGTGTTATTATCTATTGATTTAAACATATATTCAGCAATATTACATACAAGAACTCTTTCGTTCTTGTATTATTACGTACGTACGGAACCCCCTTTTGCATCGGTCACGCATTATTTAGGACAGATATGGATAGCAGTATACTATTATTGTAGTCTCTTAGTTGTTTATGACGAACGACTGCTGTTTAACTATACAGTAATTTTTCTCAGTAAATCTTTTAGTTACGTTCACCAAATGATATGAATTTTTTTGAATACTTAAAATTGTTTAAATTAGATATAAATTTCATAAAGCGCGAGACTTGTGTGCGTCAAAATTCGACAAATGACGAACATCTGTGTTTAGTGTTTCGGTGAAAGATTGATGATAGTCAGCAGGAAGAAAAATGTTTCTCAGTAGCAAAAACGACAGCAGCCATGCCTCGAGGAAATGATGAGCGTGTAAAGCGGGTTTACAGAAGTTACACCTTAATTACCACGACTAATGGTTTCGTAAAGGCAGAGAAAAGGGCCGTACAAGAATGCTGGCACTCTACATGGGGGCAAACGTTCCTTTGGATTTGTTATTATCATTTCACTTCGTCGAATTCAATTTTCAAATTGAATATATTTTTAGTTAGCTCTTGCGAGTCAAAATTAAGCATGTAGACATGTAATTTGTATCTATATATCTAAAAATGGAAAATTTCTGTTTTCTTAAACATCTCAACTCTATCGATGTTATGAAAAACTGAAGGTTATATTATTGCTTAACGCATGCCAGCGTATCAACGCCTGAGTGCCTGCGACTTTACATAATTGATTTAATTACACCTTTCATGTAGATTAATGGTTTACTGTTTTTCTTGACTTATCATCAATTATATTATAATTTGATAAATATTCAGATCAGAAATTACGAACGTTAGTTGGTAAATCACAAGTACAAGTGGAACGTGGTATATTACAATAGTACTAACTAAGTAGGTAGGCACAAGATGTACGTTCATGATACAAGCGTTTCAGTATTGGTGTACAAATCTGTTATGCAGATATACATATGTATAGCTAATACAAGTTAAGAAAGACTAATAGTGATTCGCTCTATAAAGACCTCGCGATCATGACTGATGAGGTTCCTTAAGTGCAAACAACCACGTGAACGACGTTGTTTGACGCCGCGATTTGGGATCATCGATCTTCCACAGAAGATAAATGATGATGGGACGTACACGTAATCGGTCCGAATCATTCTGCCACTTATACATTTCACTGTTGCTGACATTTTAATAATTACGTATAGATATAGACGTATAGTTAAAATGATAAATAGCTCGATCATTGAATTTACAAAAGACAATATTAATCAACACAAGAGGCATTTCTTTATTGTTTTTAATAAAGAAATGCCTCTTTAATAAAATAGCCCGGCCGAAGTCTGAATAAAGATTTTCTACTGGATAAACAAAATTTCAATTTGATAGTATCTTTGAGAATATGCAGAAGAGGTATAACGCAACTAATTAATCGCGAAATGCGTTTATACTTTAACCGGACGTGTCGTACAAATATCTCATTAAAGAATAATAAAATTATGAAAATGAAGAGATATTTTACTGGTAGAGAGGGAACCGATTCAGGGTTTTTTTTATTAAAGCCGGATTTGAGCTGGCGTATCAGCTTTTATCTCGATGCCATCTCGATAATCTGCATTCACGCATATCGTGGCAATAACCGTGAACTTGTTACTCAAGACCATGTCTAGATTCCAGCACGATTGGTAAGCGTTTCGATTATTACAACTGCTTTTAGAATGGTCAGCCTCAGATTTCAGAAGTTTATGCATACGAAATGCACTGACTCTGAAATGAGAACAGTCTTACAGAAGAAACGTACGTCTTCCGCGAGAGGACAGTAACTTGAGGTAAAAGTAGCTGCATGTGATCATGCAAGACGTTCTCTGACAATTTCGTGAATAAGGAATGCAGGGTGGCGCGTGTAAAATTTTCTGGGTTGAAATTAAGGGAAACAAAAAAGATACACGTTGTTTTATTCATGAGATGAAATTAGAATACACAAAACTGTAAATTAATGTAATCACCGGTTACTGTTCACGGTCGAGGGCATTTTAATACATGAAGAGCAAGGATTTCACCTGTCCGGGGATACCAATTACACTGTTAACTCGATAGCAATGATGCTCAATTTTCGAGAACACCATTTCCTTCGTGTTATCGTTAAAATTTTCAATTCAAACATCGAGTTTCGTACTTATCATTTACGTATGATAATTAAGTATCACTGCCTAGGTCGTAAAAGGATATTGTCTCGAAGTTCACGAAACGTCCTCACGTCACGTTGGGTATAGCTTGTCGCAAGGTTTGATTCGTTTCTTTTAAATCGTACGTTTGCGACGTTTGCATGCGAGCAGCACGGCCGAAGTCTGAAATTCCTTATTAATGCAATGGAACGGTTCGCAAACCTGTTCATCATGCGACAGGTGCCCCTTTATGATTTATCGAGATGCCTATCCTTCGTCTTCATTTTTCTCCCAGCGGATATTAACTGCGTTAAACTGTACGATCGAATCGGTCCATATTTTATATCCGGCCCTAT